ATAATATAATAATAATAATATAATAATAATAATAATAACTAATAATAAAATAATAATAAATCGTTCTATAACAACAGTATATTTTACTAATAGTTATTTCAAAAACAAGTTTTTTTTATAAACTACACTAATTAATTCTAAGCCTACTCTAATAATAGTGACTAAAGTTACTTTGTCTGTAAAATGAGCTTCTGGTAAATTATACTAGTATTATACTGTCTATAAAATGAATTTGTTTGTAAATTAATTATCTGTAAAATAAGTTTGTCAGTAAAATATAGTATTCTTGAAGTGATTGTCAATGAATTAATTAGAACTTACCTGTTTATTCTATCTCAAATAAAATATAACTAAGCACTTTTTTATTGTTAGAATATAAAACAAAACTTACTACTGAATTAGATGATACAAATACTGTAAAATATTTACTCTTCTGCAAACTATAAAAAACTTTTAAAGAAATTGTATGCTGCAATTTATTTTTTATTTAATGAATTATAGGGTATACCTGATGAAATAGGATTAAAAGCTTCTATGTTAGATCCTCAAGTGTTAAAATTACTTCTATTTATTACTAAAGATAAATGCAAAAATACTGAGACACAACTTTATGCAGAGTTAGAAGCATTAGAAGCTTAATTTAATCAAAATAATAATAACATAGAGGAGGTTACTATTATTATAGTAAAGATATAATGCAATTTATTAAGTGCTAAATTATGGAGTTTATTTACAATACCTATTTCACAAGCTATTACTAAAGATAATCTAACATAATATCTAAATAAACAAATTGTACTTAAAAGTCAGGTTCCTCTCATGTGATGAAAAGAAAAATATATAAGCTTTCTATTGCTTTGTCAGCTTGTGTGCAAGTATTTATCTATTCCTGTGACATCAGTCTCATCTGAGTGCTTATTTTTTAATGCAAATGCTCACATATCAGCAAGAAGAACCCATCTTGCATCAGACTTAGTAGATAAAATGCTATTCTTAAAAAGAAATTACTTATTTTTAAAGGATAAATAGTTTCTATATATTTTTTTAGTACCTTTAAGAAAATTTTAGTATAAAAGAGAAATAATTAAATTTTGACAATTTTATTAATATTGTTATTATAATAATTAGGTCTGTTTTAGAAATTATAACAAATAATAACAAATATGAATAGTCTCAATTCCAGTAAAGCTAAATTTTACTATTAGAAAATATAAATCAAGCATTCTTATCAATGTCTATATAGTATTCTTCATTATTAAGCTAATTTATAATATCAGATTAAAGCTAATTGAGTAGTATAATTTATGCATTCAAATAATAGTTTTTAAATGACTTAGAAGAATAACTTTAAAAGGATCAATTTATTTATTAAGTTTATTATTATTATTATTATTTTATTTAGTATTCATTGCTTATAAAATAACTTTTAATTTATATTAATAATTTGTTAGGTTCTATAATTGATATGTTTCTAAATAGGTTCAAAATGATTAGTAATTTTAATTAAACTTTATAAAAATTTAGTATTGATGCTATGGTTTTTTTTTTTTTTGAATATCCCTGTTGCTTTAGCAACTAAGGGTGCAGATGGCGCTCTTTATTAAAATAGTATTATATAAAAATATTATGAACAGCCTATATACATTTTAAATATTTACAAATTAGTTTGGCAGTTTTAGGTCTATG